GGCGGTCTGTAACAGTCGTTTATAACAGGCGGTCTGTAACAGTCGTTTATAACAGGCGGTCTGTAACAGTCAGTGCAGGGAATGGTTGTGGTTAAGTTCCTTTTCACTTCAGACTTTATCTACAACTTAGCCTCCTGCTGAAGTTCTGATGTGCTGACCCTCATAAAAAGCTGGATATAATAAACTGATGACTTCCTCATGGTCAGAGCAAACAGGTGATGTCCTGCAGGGGGTGCAGAGAACCAGTGCTGCCCCCAGCAGGACATCACCTGAACTGTTGCAGGTTCTTTAGACTGACTCGTTTTTGTAACTTTAACAATAATTATTTTCTTCACCTCTGTTTATGTAATTTATATAATAAAAAATATATATCACATTTGTGTATTTGAGTAACTTCACTGACAGCTCGTCTTTTCTCCAAAGTGTGACATCACCGAACAAAAACTCAACAATAACAGTGTTTGTGAACATGTTAGTCACCATGGTTACAGGACATCCTGTTTGACTGGATAAAGAATGTGATTCTTCTTCAGATCGAGGCCTTTAACAGATCCGATGGTGACTCACAACCCTGAACCCCACATACACACAACACAAAGACACAACACATCCACAAAGAGACAGACAAACCACATGTGTTGTGTTAATAATTAAAGTGAATTTTCGACTCAGTGAGATTCAGGAAAACTTTTCATTTCATTAGTTTGATGATACAAAAACAGACGAGTAGAAAAGTTGACGATAACAATGTTGTTGTAAAAAACAAAAACAATCACACTGAATATTTACATCAGGTCTAAACACAAAGTCACAGCTGAACAAGTTTTTTTATCGAGCGACGAGTCTGCGTCTGGTCGTCTGATCCACCAATTTGTGATACTCATCCAGTTTGTCTCGAACTTTGTTATAGATCTGAAAACACAAAAACAAAAAGTCACCTTCAGGAATTATGTTCGATGCCATCGTTTACAACAACAGAGGTGAGGTGTTAGTCAACAGTCTGTTTGATTAAACTCAAACATCTGGAACGACTGTTGACTGACCCCTAACCCTGAGATGTTTAAACTGGACTTTTATTGTGAAGGAGCCACTGGAAACTGTTTATCTACAAGAGTCAGCAGACACACACAAAGGAAGTGATGCAGACTCACGCTGCTGTTGGTTTGAGTGTCAGCAAGTGCCTGCATCAGCTGATCGATCGACGTGTACGGAAGCCAAACTGAAGAGAAGGTCGCAGACAGAGGCTTCTAAAAAAACACAACACGCACAACGTTACACACCAGACAGTACACAACGTAACACACAACCTTAAACACATGACGGTACACAACATTACACACACGACAGTACACGTTATGCACAACCTTAAACAAGACAGTACACAACGCTATACATAAACACGACAGTACACAATGACACACACCAGGACACGTTTTACACACGACAGTACACAATGCTATGCACCCAAACACACTTACACGACAGTACACAGGATTAACAGTAGTAGTAGTGTGTTTGCTGTATTACTTCTATTCCAAAGTACTGATGTCCTCTTCCCAGCAGAGCGTCCACATTCTCCAGGACAAGTTCAGCTGCAGCTTCCAGAAGGTCAAAGTTCAGGTAGAGACGCAACAGTGATGCTGCATCCACAGCCTGACAGAGAGCATGATGGGAAATACAATCTGTCACACAGGGAGCCGACATCATTTTCCTCACATTGTCTCTCCGGAATTGTTCAGTTACAACCTCCCTTGTCATTGGCTGATTGCTCACCTTGTATGACTTAACCAGCCAATCAGGTAGAGGGGCACCATGTGACAGCAGCTTGTTGATGACACTGCGGTGGTGCTGTCCGTTAGCGGAGGGATACCTGTCCAGGTAAGAGGCCAGTAGCCGCCACGCCTCATCTGCAGCACTGAGGACAGAACAAAGTAGAAGCTGTGGATTTCTGTCTCCATAGTGTGGACATGACCTTTAACCTTCAGTGCAGCTTAGGGTAGAAAACATTGAAATAAATTAATGTTTCTAACTCGTGATAATGATTCATGTTGTCATGTCTCCTCATCTGCAAACATTAGATAAAAGTATTTATTTCAGTCATGATGAACAGTCTCGAGTGACACGCACGCAGCCGGAGGTGAAGTGAGAACAGTTCGGGTTAAAGCTGGATGAGAAAGCACACTAACGAGGATCTAGGTGACATGACGTGTGCTGACCTCGTCATTGTGGAAATCCTGTTTCCAGTGTGTGAGCAGAGAAAGGGGGAGCGGAGGAATCTGTCAAATATCTTACCTCTAACTTTATACACTAATGAAATGGTCCAGAATAATATAAAACCGGTCTGTAGCTCATGAAGTCCTACCTCAGCTCCGACATGTCAAAGGGCCTTATTGATCAGCATGAACCAGGGTACAGCTGAGCTGAACAATGTGATTGATGACTTTGCATCAAAGACGGTCAGGATTTAGCTGTGATGCAATGTCGTTGCACATAAGTGTGCAATAATGTGTTGTTGTAATTGTGCATTTGTGTACTTAACTACACAATGTCTTTCACCTGCATGCGCTTGTTACCTACAGTGTTTGGTTTGGAAACCTTAGAAATTCATCAATGCTTTTTGGAGACGATTCTGTTTGTTTCTTCAGAACGTAACCTCCAGCACTCACTGCAGCTGTTTGTAATGTGTGAAACGAGTGTGAAGTGGTTGGGACGAGAATCAATGGGATGTGAGGTTTTCAGTTAACAGTGGGTTATTCTGAGTTTGTCCTGAGTGAAAGGAGTTAAGGTGTCTTAGGCTCTTAGTCGTGGGTGAGGGGGGATGCAGGGTTGCAGGGTCAGCAGAAATGCTGGACTGTTGTGGTGAAGAGGAGCTGAGCCTCAAGATGAAGCTCTGGATTTACTGGTCGATCTTGGACCTTACTCTCACCTAGGGTCATGAACTCTGGGTGGAGACCGAAAGAACAAGATCACAAATACAAACAGCTGAAATGACTTGTAAGTCAGACGTCTAGAATCAGAATCAGAGACGGGATCGAGAGTTCAGATGTCAGGAGGGAGCTTGCAGTACAGATGCTGTTCCATCACGTCAAAGGAGTCCGTTGATGTGGTTTAGCATGTGATCAGAATCCTCTGGATGTCTTTAGTAGACAGACTGGGAGGACTCCCCAACGTCGAACCAGAACATCCCATCAGGTCTTAAACCAGGAGGAGCTGGATGTTAAAAACACCTGGAGCTGGATCTGTTGAGAGGAGGACTGGAACACCCTGATCAACCTGCTCCTGAAACCTGACTTCAGAGAGGAGGAAGAGGAAGAAGAATCAAACCTGGACTCTTTGGTGTTGACGACAGTCGACAGCTGATTATCAGCCAACCAGCTCCAAGCTTCATTCTGAGTCTCCTCCCCCCCAAACTGAAGCCTGACGCACCTGAGAACAGACCAACACCACAAACATCAACATGTCTCATCAAGAGGGGAAAGGAAAAAGAACTTTCATGGTTCTAACTATGAGTGAGCAGAACCTCAGGGTTGTAAAACAGCAGAACCAGAACTTACTTAAAGGCTAAACCCTCAAACACCGGAGTCAAGGTCAGTTTGAACGTCTGACAGAGACACAGAGCCGAGTCAAAGAGTCCAGACTGAACCAACAGGGACACCATCTCCTCCGCTGACGCACTTCCTGTCAGAGAGAGGCGGGTGAGAGAGAGACAGAGAGATAGAGACGAGGAGTTGAAGCTGCTGATGTACCTGCAATGGTGGCAGATGGTGGGTGGTGCTGGGCTAGCGTCAGGCGGCAGCGAGACAGGAAGTACTCCTTCTCCAAGTCGTTGAGTTCCAGAATGTCAACCTGACGTTTAACTGCAGCAGGAAACAAATGTTCAAACACCAGTACTTCCTGTTCCAACACGTCTTGACACAATTCCTCCATCAGAGGGTAACAACACACAACACTGTTCACAATGAAGCTGCTGATAAAGTTT